GAGTTTTTTCTTGCCTTCTGCCTCATTATAAATCATGAATTGCTGTTCAGTCTATGGATCTTTAATGAAGTACACAGCTAAACAAGTTCCTGTGACCATGAGATAGGTGTGGATTGACCAACATTAAAACAATGGGTTTCAGAAATGCCCCCAAATGGTTTTCATTCTTTCTTCCATGCAAAGACGTGCCTGTGAATGTAAAGTAAATCCCACTGAGAGAAGAGCTTACTTTCCTGTCATTTCTAATCAGATTTAAAAGGAAAGGAATTGCAGGCAACTCTTTCCAGCCATTCATACAGCACTTAGACACGTCATGTTGATATACACATTGAGTTGTACAGCAGGTGGTACAACTGCTGTACAACTGTTCAACCCAAGGTAGTCCTAGCTGCCCCAATCCCACTTCGTCCTGCCTCGTGCATTAATTGTATGCAAATTCAGCAGCATCTATAGTTTTGTTTATTTTCTCCTTTTTTTCTGCCACTATTGTCTCAAAGCAAATGGCAATGTAAAAATAACAAAGGTAGTTCTTTCGCACTCTGCCATCATCTGAATGTTCCATACATGTCACTACCTACAGACAAATGAGAAGATGTGAAAATTGTCCCGTACAAGGTGGCCAGAACAGTTGGTGTTGTAAAATTGTTTTAGAAAGTTAATGTCAAATTTTAGAAAGTTGAGGAACATCTGGCTACAGCACTGGCTTTCAAGTTGGGTAGTGTACCCCCCACCCCAAGTAAGTATGAAAGAATTCTAAGCAGTGACACAAGATGGTCAGATGCAACATCCTTCACAAGAAGTCTGTGTTGCTTTTACTATTTATTAAGGTAAACCATATTTTTCTTAACTTTATATAACAAGGAAAACTCTGTATTCTTAAGTTTTTGTGCACATCTTTAATCTAAAATTATGAGTTGATTTTTTTCCATTAAACAGTACTTGCATGATGACGAAGGAGAGGTGAGAAGAAATGAGGATTTTTTAAAAAACAAAACAAAAATTGGGCAAATAGAAAAACAAAAACTAGGAACTGCTGGACTAAAACAGTGAGTCCCCACAAGTTAAATTAACATGCTAGGAATCAGGTGGGGGGGGGAGAGAAATATTTTCAAAGTACAGTTTCTAAAATGCCCCTAGACAGTATGGCTTCATTACAAATGAAATGAACCCAGATTTATCATACCATTGTTTGACTCATTTTCAGCAGCTTAAACAGATAGACAATGAACAGATTCAACTTCACCCAAACTGGTCTCTTTTGATATTTTTCACAGAACCCGGAGCTCAGGCTGAGGTGAAGCCAGAGAAGCATGCGTTCTCACCATTTTGAATACACACTTGACCACACACTTGAATTTGTGGTAAGTTCAGGAATTCCAGCCAAAGTACAGTGGTGCCTCGCTTAACGATTACCTCGTTAAACAATGAAACCTCTTGATGAAGTTTTTGTGATCGCTTTTGTGATCGCAAAAGGAAGTTCTAATAGGGAAAAATCGCTTAACGATGATCAGTTCCCTGCTTTGGGAACTGATTTTTTGCTAGACGATGATTTTAAAACAGCTGATTGGTGGCTCTAAAATGGCCGCCCACTGTGCAAAATGCCTCCCCGCTGTGATTTAGCACGGATTCTTCGCTTTACAGGCACCGAAAATCACCGCCCCTATGGAGGATCTTCACTGGACGCTGAGATATTTAGCCCATTGGAACACATTGAAGAGTTTTCAATGCGTTTCAATGGGCTTTTTCGTTTTGCTTGATGAGGATTTCACTTAACAGTGATTTCAACGGAACGAATTATCCTTGTCAAGTGAGGCACCACCGTACTATGTAAAAGAGAACTACAAACCATTTGTGAGCTCTAAGAATAGAGAAAAATGTCTTGTATCAAGTCAAACTACATGTCTAACCCACATCCCTTAACCTGAAATTACCCACCCTGTTTGGCAGCAGCCTTCTGGCATCTCAGGCTGAAGGAAGTCTTTCTCTCCATCTGCAACCCCCACCTTTAACTACAGAGGCCAGGAACTGACTCTGGAAACCTGCAGTATACAACAAACACACAACTACTGAGCTACAGTCCTTTTCTTTTACCACTTTTCCCCATCTAATCTCCACAGCTGACCCGCTGTGTTTATAACGTTGCATAAATAAAGTGTTACCTTATCTATACCGCATATGCTGGGAGGGGACAATAAAAAGTTAAAGAAGAAAGCCTGCTCTCCTTAACTTCCAAGGAAGTATCACACAGGATGCCATTCCACTGCCGGAGCTTATAAAGATATTCTACACAAGCTTTTTTTTCCCTGCAGCTGGAGCATAAATTTCAATGGCAAGTTCAGTTGCCTTTTCGAGCTAATAGGGTGGGATAGGGTGCCATCTTTATCTTTACCCTAAGCAGCAAAATGTCTTCTACTAACCCTCCTAATCTATAAATGCTTGTTTGGTGTTTTGTTTTTTGCTTCTTTAAAAGTGTGGGGATCACAGAGACAATTTGGATAGCACAGTTCACAGGGGTAGGTGCATGGGTTTATATCTGGAACAGACATGTATGTATCCCTCCCACTGTCCAGACTAGTCCTATACATGTTTACTCTAAAGCAAACCCCACTAAATTTAGTGTGATGATTCTTTCCAAGTGTCACTAGGGAGTAAACTCCATTTAACTTAACAAAACATCATCCCACTTATGTCTATGTAGTTGCTCAATCAAATATTTAATGTTTTGGCCAGTAGCCTTTGCAAGACAAGCAAAATAAACAACATAAAATGAATTGAAGATATGGCAAATAATGTGCAATATGAATAAACTGATACAGATCCATTTAAATAACTTTATCATATAAGTCAGATAATACCTCCCCTAGCAATTGGTACAGTAGTTATCTCTGCTACAGATCCTTTCCTGATTTTCTTAGCATCAATGGCAGAAAGGATTATATACTAGTACAACGATATCATTTTTTGGAGAAGCATGTCCAGTGGGCTCTGATATGAAGAATAATTCTTAATTAAAGCACCAGAAGACATTATTCTGATTCTTTGTTCAACTGACAATGCAAATATAATGGACAAAGTCCTCTGGCTCAGGAGGATCTTTATCTTAGAATCCGCTAAGATAAAGATGCTTGTGCACCGAATAACATGAATTTGCACAGCTCTTCCAAACCTGCAAGATGCACAGTTTGTTTCCTCAGCCATCCTCACAACAACACTGTAAGAATTGCAGGGAACGAAGACTGACAGTGGTTGGCCTAAAGCTTGCATTTGTAGGATGTGAAATAGGGGTTTTGGATTTCCAATATTTGACTGAAGTTCATATACATTCCACAGCTATGGACATGTGACCACTAGGTTTTTACGCTAAATGCGTACTAAACATTGATTACATCCTACACAAATTCTACAGCCTTATCAAGGTTGTGTAGAAGGGCCACAGGAATTATTCAAGGTGTGTGCCTGTTTTGGGGATATGCTTCAGCACCTTGGATAGTTCCTGCAAACTGCATATTATAAAACCCCAGGGGCATTCCCAGCACATCTGAAATTGGAGTCACCAGCTGGCACTGAATTCGCAGGTTAGCCATCTAAGAGAGGCTCATCAGTAGAAGTGATGAACTGGCCACAGCAATAGTGAACATACTAGTATGGAACAGTTGTGCTTTGGATTAATAAAGGGCCATTCTACACCAATGAAATAATGGATCTTCAAACAGGTCCAGCACTCCTCTCAACTGGTAAAAGTGTTTTGGGTAGCAGCTCCCATTTGCTGACAGCTGTTACCCCACTGCCCATGCACCCCGGTGCCACTGCTGCTATGAGGAATAACCTATGGAGAGAGGAAGGGTAAAGAAGAGCCCACTGCCAACTCTGGTCTTGTGTCATGTGGACGATGGGATACCTCAGTGACAAACCAGAGAGGAAATGGAGAACAAATGTCCCATCTGATCAGGACACTTCCTGGGGTGGAGCAACTCCAGCTTTGCTCCGCAGCACTAAAAGTTAAAGGCACTAATATCTGGAAGTGAATATTTTACTAATGAATATTAGAAAAATGAACAGTACCTCCTCCCAACCCCCTACTTTAAAAAAAATAACGATTTTTTTTTAAAGAGGCACCACCTTCTCCCACTCCTTTTTCTTGGGAGTGGGGCAGCTTGCGCCCATGTGTCAGGCTGAATGGGTGGGAAGCACCGCCAGTTGCCCTGGGTGCCAAAACTGCAAGTTACAGCTCTACTTCAGGTGGTGCTAGTATGGCAGCAGGTGCCCATCTGGACGGGCAGGAAAGGGTCGCCCATAAAAAGGAGCCAAAGTCAGAACACGAGGTGGGGCCCACCGATTCTGGTTCCCCCCCCAAAAAAAAAACACTCTCTCTTTTGCAATAACGCTGCAACCCAGATCCTTCGCGCTTAACAGTCCATGCCCACTGAAGAGCAGCCTATCTTGTTGCTTCACGTAGCTTTCCCCTTACTACATTTGATCGGCTGCTGGAGGGAGAAAGTGGGGCGTCTATCAGCTTTCCTAACCCCCAGCGTGGGGGCAGGGCCAGCCCCCCCCTTTCTCTCTAACTGACCGGCCTCGGCTCATCCCAATGTATATGGAGCGTGGATTTCTACTGGAAGGTCAGGAAAGGGCAGCAGGCGCGTTGTCTCGCCTTCCCCTTTCCGGGCAGGCCGAGAAGTGTCTCCCCCCTCCCCCCGGAGTCGCGGCGTGGGGCTGGCGGGCGGCTCCCCGTGGCGGGCTTTCTCGGCGAGGCCACCCCAGGCCGGCTCCTCCCCT